GATAGATAGATAGATAGATAGAAGTAAGAAGGTATAGAAGTAATTTCTTCCATATAATGTATATGTTTGAAAATATTAACAGACAGTGTGGCAGTAGGACAATTTCTGAAGCCAGTGTCTTGTAATGGCTTGTTTGCATGCTGCTTCCAGAAGCTATTTTTGTCAGCACTGCTTAGTCCATCAGGGTTATAACCAAGATCTAAGATCTAACCAAGTTCTACAAACATTAAAGCCCAAGACTTAAGAAATAATGGTTGTTACTTCCTTCCAAACAGGTAGGACAAAGGTGCCAGTCAAAATTTATGGGCATGATCAACATTCCTGCCAGCAAGCCTAGATGGGTGACAGTTTACTTCAACCTTTGTTTGATTTGTCAAGCCGATATGTCTGGCTCAAGTTTCTAAAATGAATGAGCTGGCACTTTTTAACAATCTTACACACAGGGGCAATGGAATAATATGCACACTGCCCAAATCTAGGATCTTGCATCACTGATTCAAACTCAGGATTTGTACTCCTCACCTACTACAGAAATATGGGCTAGCTGAGCAAGCAGTCTCATTGTAATGTTACGGAGTTAGACAGACTGCCATTAACGTTTGTCCATGCTGTAAGTGAAGAATACACAGACTGGATGCAAATGTTTCACTAAAACTAAATATGTTCATTACAAGATTAAGAAAATCCCAGTCAATCCAATCAAAAGCACTCAAACTGAGTAGAATAACTTTTTCCTTTTTCTTTTTTTTTTAAATTTGTTCAATAATGTGTAACACTTTCCTCACACTGTCTTGAGTTTGCATCTATTTTTTTATTAATCTAGTTTAATCCTCACTAGTTTTTAATTTTCATTTTTACCAAGTTAGGGAGGGTCTAAAGAATTTTTTTAAATCAATAATTGTACTGAGAAAACAAGAATTTATACGATTATTCAAATGATTTTTGTATTTAATCCAGACTACAAGTAGTGTTATGCATGACTGTCTCTCTTATAGATGGTTTGTTTCCTCAATCTCCAAGCCTGCAGTTTTGTTGTTTTGGGGATGATCTAATAATTTCCTTACCTCACAAATCCTATGTCTTTCTCCACCTACTCACTCATTTTGTGTACTTCTTATTTGTTTCTGACTTGTAATGCATTATGACAGCTATTTTATTGGCAATAATGCTCTCTGATTTTTTTCATTTTTGTTTAAGTTCTATGGTTTCTACTTTAAAATTATTTCCTTTTGTTTTAGTTTTATTCATTTTAAGTTTCTTAAATTATTATAATATGTGAGGTATGTGTCAGAATAGAAGAATATAAGCGCTATTACAATAAAAACACAACACTCTGCTTTTATGTCAGCCAACCTGTACATTTTAAATAATTTTCTATTAATGTTTTTAGGCCTTTTATATTTTTATACTTGCTTGAAAAGTTCACAATAAGTTAGATATTAATAATTGAGACCAATGTAAAAAATAATGTAAATGTGAGTTATCATAACAAAGAGCTATGTTCGTCTACGTTCTCTTAGATGTATCACTTTAAAAGCCATTATTATTGACAGACAGGTAAAGTATACAAGTTCAAAGATGGGCTACAGTACATTGTCATTTCTCTGAACATGTGTATTGTATTTATTTATGTCCAGAGTCTCTTTCCTTCTTACCAGACTGGTTAGCTGTTGTTCCAAAGACGTCTTATCCTTCTGTACAGACTGAAGCTCTTTCTGCTTGCTCTCCTGGTCAACACTCAGCTCACTGATCTGTTCGAAGCACACAGTATAAACCAGAAAACATGCACATGTATATCTGTATAGAGCCATAAATTATGCATCATCACAGTAACAGACCACACAGAGTATCACATTTTACTAGATGGTGGGTTGAATGAAGAGTGTTATACCAGTTCTTCTGATTTTACAATCATGTAACAATTTCAATAATAATGATAAATGATGACTAACACATTCAACAAGCAATTATGTTTCTTATAAAGCTGTGGCACAGGAATCGCTGAACAAAACACCATAGTCAAGAATTCTCTGGTGCTTTCTACAAACCTTCTTCTCCTGAGACTGAACCTGTGCCTTGAGGCTGCTGATTTGTTGCTGTGACAGAGACACAGCATCCTCCTTCTGCTGGGACGCCCGGAGCCTGAGCTGGAGATCTGCCACCTCCCTCTCTAGCTCCATTATCCTGGAGCGCTCAGACACTGTGGCCACCTACAGCAGAAAGCAGAGTCATGAGGAGGTTATGGGGCAAAGAGGAGACAGGGGGCATGAGAGAGGAGATGAGTAGTGCCTGCTCATATGTAATCATTTGCTTGGTTTGTCCAAAATGCAAAGACATTTACTTTACAGTCGCATAAGTAAGGGAAACACATTAATTTAATTATTAATTTATAGCCTCATTTTCCTTTTTCATACTTACCTAATTAATTAGGGAGCCTACGGTTACTTAGCCTACTTGGGTCAGAAATCAATTAGACAGAATCTGTAAGATATGTCACCATGACATGACATGAACCTAAAACAAGCAGCTTAGCATAAAGACTGAAAAAAGTGATGGAGCAGCCACAGTCAAACAGCTAAAAGCTGCTGTTTATGACGATTTCTGCAACTTTATCATCTTGTTAAATGCGGTGTCGAAATGTATGAAATCTTCATATTCAAGATATGGCGCTTTAAAGGGAACCGCTGAATTTTCTTCCTGTTATAGACACCACAGAATGGTTATTACAACTACAGCTATTGCAATTTACCCCTGTTTGGCAAATGTATTTATTTTCATGACTGAATAAATGTTAAGTATATTATGGACGTTATCTTGGGGATAATAGAAAATATAGTCATGCTGAACATCAAATGGGTTATTTTATTGGCCTTAAGAAGTAAAGGTTTACTGAATATCAGTTTATTTGTACTTTTAAAAGAATGTATTTTTAAATATGACATATAATTGAGTAAAACATATCACAATGTTTCTCCCTTACATTAATGTGTTAGACATAAGCCCTATAATGAATGACATTTACTGTTATGAACACTACAGCCTGTAACAATCTGCACTTTTGCTATTTAATTGTGGCTGAACCAAGTAGGTATTAAATAGCCTGTTGCGGTACAAAGAAATACCAAAATGCACCAAGGAGTAGAAATGAATACATACTCAGTTATTTGAATCTTTGTGTCATCTGACAGCTTACATTCTTTATGTTAAGCTAAACTAAGTAGCCTCTGTACATTTCGTTATACAGTACAGGTACAAAAATCTTGAGCCAACCCTCATTTCCAAACCTTCCAAAGCTTAGATTTTAGCTTAGATCTTTTTAAGGTGGTCTTAAGCAATATTTCTCCAGGCATTCTGGAGGTCTTTCAAAGTTCTTCTTTGAACTCTGCCTACTTTTGCCCACATTTTCAGTCAACTCTTTGTACCTCACCATTTTCAAAGGAAATCCCAAGCAATCTTTCACAAAAACACAATTTATTCAATTTCTTTACCTGAACCCATAAAAACTGCCAACAATAACAGTTTGATAGGCATAAAATTGTATTACTGAAACAACGTGATTCCCAAAAAGCTATTAGTTTAAACCTTAGCATATGACATATATTTATATCTTGGCATATGGATATGTACATAGTCTCGTTAAAAAAAATGTTCTGGGGAAAATGGACACGTAAAGAAGAAAGGACGAAGTGGCAGCCCCAAAAACTACAGTAGAAGTAACGCATCTGAATGTCATGTCAATAAGAAGCAGGAAAAAAATCCAGCAAAGACTTAAAATAGGACTTGAGAGATGCATATGCCCCTTCAGTTGATTCATCTACTGTTCACTAAATCCTCATCAGAAATGGTCTCAATGGAAGGGTGACTGTCAAGAAGCCATTCTTAAAGAAGGAAAAGGTTTAAGTATGGTAAATTACACAATAACTGGACTTCTGGATGGTGATCAATCCAAATTTTAAAACCTTGATATTACATACAGAAGAGGTCAGGAGAAAGCAATGCTCACTGTTGTACCTATCTGTAAAACATGGTGGAGGTTCTGTCACGGTGTGGGGTGCATTTCAGCCAGTGATGTTGGAGATCTTGTCAAAGTTAATGTAATTATAAATGGATTTTGATCCACCACATAATACTACTTTGAAACCATCTGATTGGCAATGCAACATTTTTCAGCATGGCAAACACACTGTCAATGCAATACACACACACACTGGAACACTATGAGTCCCGGCTTGGCCTCCCCATAGCTCAGAACTCAACATTACAATATTGAAGCAGTGTGACCATCTTAAAATGTAAAAATTTTTTTTTTTTTTTAGAGCTTTAGAATGTCCCTCAGGAAGCCTAGAGAAATATTCCTGAAGACTTCAGTTCAGGTTGTGTTGAAGAATAAAGGTGGTCATACCAAATATTGGCTTTAAAGCTTGTAAGAATGCTCTAAACTCTGTTTTTGCCTTATATACTGGATTTGCATGTGTGTTTGCACTTGTTTTAATAATAAAGAGATGAGGGATGGCTTAAGACCTTTGCACAGAGAGAGAGATTACATCAAAGAACTTTGGCTATACAACTGGCTAAAACAAACCAAACATTCATTCATAAGAAAAAATTCCACTCCCACTGGACAGAGAGGTGGCAGATCTGCAGCAAAGTTCCAACAACCAGCAGAAGACCTGGTCCAAATGGGAATTTATTGCTTTTCTACAGAAGCGTTTGACTCATCAAAAATATGTCAAAGCTTCAGGTTAAAAGACATAGGATGGGAGTCTTCTACATTTATCTTAAGGTCAGCAAGTCCCATGAAAAGGTCAGGTAGTGAAAGGCTCAAACACATACTATTTGTTTGCTCTCCAGGGCTCTGATGGTTTCAGACATCAGATATCTGAAATATGATCATCTCAGGGCCTTCAGGTACAGACCCCCAGTCTAAAACAGAAGGTTTGTGAGGAGCACAAAAGCTGGGTTTAAAGAGAAGGACACCAAAACAGTTGTTAACATTGTTTCAAACAGTGACCAGTTGCAACAGGAACCAGCATAAAATAAATATAAATTATTTTCAACTTTGAATCATGCAAAACTACTTTAGTAGAGTCCCGGAATAATTACATGACATTGACAATAAGCATAATAGGTATACTTTCATCTGTCAGCTCCCTACATTGATAATGTTTGTTTACACCTCCTGCATACTCTATCACATAGTCCAAACATAACAGTTCATGTCATAAGAGCACATCTGAAGTGAACTATCTCCTGTTGTGTGCTACATATGGGAAAGGACAACGTCACCGATTTAATGAGCTAACTGTCCTGAAATTGTTGCGAAATCGCGCCCACACACCTTTATTTACAGAATAAAAATGATAGGGCACGGAACTGGTTTCAATATTCGGAATTAAAATGTATATGAAGCAAAGCAACATATTTTTGACATCTCTACATTGTTAGTTTGTAAAGTTTGTAAAGAAAAAATGTGATTAAAGGCAAATCTGTGCAAACAACTGACTGATCCTTTGTTTCTTTGATGCTATGCATCAGTGAGTTATTGTGAAGGATGACATCTACAGGAGTAATAATGTTACTGGTAAAGACAAGGCAGTATCCTCAAACAGACTGCATTTTACACCACTTTTCTAGCTACCAAGCACTCACACAGCTGTGACACACTGTTTTGTGACTCAGTACTTTGCTCAAGGACACTCCGAGATATAGAGTGGAGGATGTTGATGGCTTATTTTCTGAGACAAAATCATGCAAAAATGCTTGATTTTGCTCTTTTCATGGGATTTGTTGATAGGAGTAAAATGTTGAAGGATTCCACCCTTATTCTTTAAAGCCAACTAAGTCTAAAGAACCATAATCTCCAAAAAATATCCTTTAATAAAGCTTTATGCACATATGTATATTGTTTAGTATAAACAATAAACATGGGTTATCTGGAAAGCTCAAAGCAGATGAAATGTTAATGTCCCTATTGCAGGGCTGTGGACAATTTGCATGGTGTTTGCATGCTGCAGTTCCTTCAGTATATGCCAGTTGTGATTATTAAGTCTAGCGGGGGAAAAAGGCTGTGGCACTACAACTGCCAGAATTACCCTAGTGTCCTCTAAATCCCTCTGGAGTTTTTCAGCTTTGGTCTTTTCAAAGAGCAGGCTCTGCTCAAGCTCCTTTATGTGGACATGCTCCAGCCTGGTCTGCGTCTGTTAGTAAAAGAGAGCAGGAAGAGAGGAAAAACAAACACCATTGCGAACACTGAGCTGCCAGCTTTGTGCCACAGACAGAAAGAAGGCAAGACTTTAAAGAGAAGACCAGGAAGTACAAAAGCACTGATGGTTTGCAGCATTTCAGCTTTTTTGTTTGGAGTATCCAGAGTTAGTTACTGTGATCATCTCTTTCTTTCAGATACTTTTGTTTCCATTTCATGAAGCAATTGAACAAGACTAATCCGGGAGTGAGAAAGATGCAGAAAAGACATGCACGATGAAGGCATAAAAAAAAGTGAAGACAAAAGCGGCATTCAAACACAGACATGTGGACAAACAGATGATGAGAGTAATGGTAATTTAAGTGCTGCAGATGGGTAGAAAAATCTGAGATGAATAAATGAAAAGAGCAGGAATAGAACACAAGTCTGAACAAAAAAAAGTAAATGATTGATAGAGTGCAGGAAAGGCAAAAACATTATGCAGCAAGTCTGATTTAATCAACTTCTCATTTTTTGGAAGAAAATGATCATCAGCTTTATGGTGTCATCCTAAGTTGTGAATTAAAAAGAGTCAGGAATCACAGTGAAAATCAAACTAACATGTCACTCAGTGGAACGCCGAGTTGACAGTGATGATAAACTATTCATCTTGGTTGGAGTCAATAAATCATACCAGACTTCCATTAAAGAAGTATCAGCCTGATCAGTGAGAGGCAGACAGCTCGGGTGAATAGGACAAGTGAGAGAACATGTTTAATTGAGAATCGGATTATGTAACCACATTTACCTCGAGGTCTCCCTTGGTGATGCATGCCTCTTCTACTCGAAACTGTAGGTCCTCCACTTTCCTGTCAAACAGGGACAATAATAAAATCTTCTAAAATCACAACACACAAGTGGCTCAGTCATTAAAACCCTACAGATTTACTGAAGAGCTGGAACAAGCTGATACTGCCAGTCATTCTGGCAGCCTTCTTATTTCAAAGAGAGAACCTTCTCTGTGAAAACAGGATGCTGCTCTTTTTCTCCCTCTTGTATTAAATGAGGCATTTCCAAAGTATGCATTTCAGGTCAGACGGTATCGTTGTCATGTGGATGACAATCAGAATGATCTACCTGCTACAACTGACAGTGCTCATCCGGAAAAAACTGACTATTTAGAAGACAGCAAATCCTAAATGGCAAAAAATTTATCTTAACTAAATATACAGCAAAATTAAAGTTATTTTGCTAATATCTTTGCTCTGTTAAAACCTTAATGGGTGCTTGATTCTCTGTTGACATATGCACAAACTACAGCTAAAAAGCTTTTACTATGTAAAAGCAATTGCTAAATTAAAGCAAGTTTAATTTCCTAAGGACTTAGAAAAAGATTCCCATGCTTGTCTCACCTCTCAGCTGGACTAAGATGTAACTCTCTGTGTATAGGTTTGTACAGGTTTAGGCTGTGGCTCAGGTGAGGTCGCAGGTCACCAACCAGGTGATAGATCAGTCTTTGATTCCTGCTGTCTTGGGCAAGATACTGCACCCAAAGCTGCCCCCAGTGGATCAAATGGATGAAGTCTGCTTATGTGAATGGGAGAAAGCGCTTAGGTGTAGATAAAAGCGCTGTAAAAATTAATTTGTGTGTGACTGGGTGAATGAGACTTGTAGCAGAAAGAGTTTTGAGTGTTTAAAAAGGTACTATATAGGTATTAGTGAGTTTATTATACTTTTTCCTGGTTAAAATTTATTCAAAACAAAGCTGCTAGAAGTTAAAAGGGTACAATGAAGAGGCAACACATCACTACTGTTTTGGCCCAGCTGCCCTGGGTACCAGTGTACTATAAAACCAAGCTTTTTATAGATCTAGTAATTCCATATTTTGTCCCCAGTCATCCTCGAAAGAACTCCTTCCCACTCTTGCCTAAATGTTGCTTATCATGCTAAGCTATTCTTAAGTCCCAGAATATAGATATGGAGCTGGTTATAGGTAAAGTCAAGTCAGCCACCTCTTCTCCTCCTCCAGCTGGTTGAGCAGCTCCACTTTGTCTCTATCTGCTGCTTCTACCATCGACCGCAGCTGATCCATCTTGGCCTCCATCTCCACTGCGTACTGCGGCATACAGAATTAACATGAGTGCACACATCACAAGTAAGCTGTTAGATGTTGGTGACAGACCACACTTTGTTTGACCTACTGATACCATTTTCAAAATGTGATATTGTTTCATTTTCTTATTTATTTATTCTGAAATTCTGAACTGTTCACGTGTCTCACCTGATCCCGGCATTTCCTCAGCAGAGTCAGCTCCTGCTGCACCTCTCCTGCATGGCTGGTTGCTTTTGCCACCTCGCACCTCTCCAGGTCCCTCTCTGCCAGCAGCTGCTCGATGTGCTGCTGCTTCTCCTTCAGAGCCTCCTGCAGGGCTGTGGTGCCTGAAATCTTACGAGCGTACCGAGCTGACGTTTCTGTCAGCTGTAAAAATGACACAAGCACTCGTGAATCACACTGCAGATGTTAAATCATGCACCACGCAGATTAACCAGATATCTCACCAGTCCTGCTCGGCTGGGTTTCCCACTGATTGAGGAGGTGGCGGAGCTGATGGAGCTGATGGAGGAAGCGCTGGGGCTTCTTTTGAGAATGGACCTCCTCCGTGAGCTCTTTGCCTTGGTAGGGGTGGTACAGGGGAAGCCAATTCGGGTCACCTTGTGAACTGGAGCAAACAGGCCATACCTGGGCATGCACTGGAAGTACCTGAGGAGGAGACAGGTTGTACTATGCAATTATCCTCTGTCATATGTACTACAGACAGAGCTCAGAGTATTGTAAATTTGCTATGCAAATAAAACTAAAAATCTGTCTGTGCTCTTTACCTGGTTCCAGCTACAGCGCCATCATTCTTGCCTAGAGGTTCATCTAGTTCGACTCCACACCAGTCTCCCTTAGCAAAGTCTGTCTCTCCGAGAAACCTCACCACTCCTGCCTTGGTACCACCAACCTACACACAAAACAATTCATGCAAATTCATTTTTATCTAAAAATGTTATCTTTTTTCTATTTACAATAACGGCTTCAATCTAGTGGAATTATTCAAGGTGAAGCAAGCAATTTATCGAACCTGAAACATTTACACAAGCAGCCCTAGGGGAAAAAAAGCACTGAGTAGTGTAGCAATAAACTTTTCTGTGAGGCTCCATGTCTACATCACTGATATTCTGCCCTAACGCCAGCCGTCACAGTGGATTCAGTCACTCTTACCAGCACTCGGTCTCCCAGCCTTAGCTCCCTTCTGTTCTTCTTCGTGGAATCTGGGTCGGAGAGGTTGGACACTGACTCACTGGATGTCAGGATCCGGTTAAGTGCTCCGCCTGTCTTAATGCCGGTGCCTGGAGCTGAAGGAAGAAGAAAAAAAACAAATACAAGAACGATCACAGGGTCCACATTTGTCAGTCACTTTGTAAGAACATCTTAACTGAAGCTAAACTGTGAGATGTCCCAAATGCTATTTTGTTTCTTCCAGTCTCTGGCTGTGATCAACAGCCTTTATTTAAAGCTGTTAAAGCTGGAGGTGGGGTGATGTGACCAAAGTCTGATTTTAAAACTGCAAATTTGTTTGACAAATTCATTCTAAACACTAGGTAAAGAAAATGGCTGTGCTGTGAAATCAACTGTGTGTCTACCTAAAATAACAAGGCAGAGAAAACGCTATAGGCAGCAGAAGGTTTGTTACTTTTTTTTTTTTGTATCTTTAGAGACCAAGATCCTTGTTGCAGAGCAGTAGTCTACTACCTATAGACTTTTAGCTAGGTGCTTAAAAAGTTTTATGGCAAAGTTTCTAAGTCAGCAACAGTGAGTTGAAATGAAGCAGGACGATGACTGTGAGAGAGGTACTCAAGGTAAGAGGGCCAAGAGCACTTGGCATTAAGAAGTTTATCTTCTCTTCTACTATCTGACTAATTTTTATTTTACTTTAGTTAGTTATTTTCCAAAATGTATCTTTGTACATTTAACTTTTAGTGTTGAACAGGACAGAAAGGAGAGAAAGAGAGAGAGAAAGCAGGGAGAACAGCACACAGGAAATGGCCTGGGATAGAATCTAGCCTCTGTGGTGGCCTTGAGGCATGTGTGTCGCCCACTTAACCCTGAGTGATCAAACTAACATTCAAATTTCAAACTACATCCAAAGGTAACCCTGACAACATGGAAAAAAATATCTCTTAAATATAGCACGACTATAAGGGAATTTTAAGAATAAGCAAATGGCCAAAGTGGATGTTAACCATCTGCTGTTAAACCCATTAGTCAGAAACACACACACACACACACACACACACGCACACACACACACACACACACACACACACACACACAC